CACGTCTGCACACTTATATCTGCTTCTCAACAAAGTCTACTGGAGGGGGTTAGAATGTCAAGTTCAGACTCATTAGACTCATGCTGGTAAGTAAATGGGGAGATTTCAATGTGAGCCACAGAATTGTTATTCCTGTTGAATTGCAGAAGTTCCCAGTGTTGGATCCCACTGACAAAATCTTATATTTTTATATTGAAGCCAGCCTTGCACAACTATTTTTGTTTCTGGCATTTAAGTTAAGAAAATGAAAGTTATTGCACGTCTATAGGTACAGAAAATAAAGATGAGGCTTTCGTAAATTCCATCAAGCAATGTACACAAATACTTATATTAAGGTACGTTTGCAATAAGGGATGGAAAAGGCTATATGTATTAATGGATTAAATGCCATGTCTGAAGTCACAGTTTAAATTGTGCACAATTAGCAAACAACTTTTCCAAACTGACATTTAATCCATCGATAAAAATCACTCTGGAGGTCTATTACTCCCTAATTGTAGCAGCAAGGCCCGAAATACAAAACAGATTTCACTCTCTTCAAGCAACCTTTTTTTTAAAAAATTGCTTTGACTAACTGGCCCCCTCTTTTCCTAATGAAGGCTACGCACATTCATACATACATCAGAAAGAAACAGAAAATGTATTAATTAATGCTGAATTGCAAAATAAAACCTGGAAATAATCAAAATTTATCTTGAGGAAAATGATAAATGATTATTAATGATTCACGTGTGGCCCTTCAGCAGAGCTCCAGTTTAAAATTATGTTTGTTAAAGATGCTAAAACCCAAGCACGAACTCTTACGTTACAATATTGTATACAGGCGACCCATTGTAACACAATGGTGTAGGTCCATTAACTCAGTCTCTAATGAGGCAGGTTAAAATATGGCTGCCTGTGAGCAAAACACAGCAGTCAATTTGTGCACAGCAGCTTCCAAAAACAGCCATGGAATGAACAATTAGTTTTTCTTGTGGATTGATGGCCTGGACAGCGAGAGAAACTCTTGCCCTTTCAAAATAGCACCAGTAGAGAGACAATTACACAAGTAAAAATATTTGGGACACCCTAAATTTACTTTAAAAAAGAGAACAAAATGGAAGAAATATCACGTCAATTGGTTTCGATGTGTGCACAGGATGTAAGACACTAGCCCTGAAATAGCAACTGAAAGGAAAATGAAAGTATGAAAAACCATAATAATCTAGCAAAGCATTGTAGAGAGGGACCTCAGGACTTCTCAGAACATAAGAATCTGCTAGGCGTAGAAGACCAAGATCCATCCAGTTTGCCTTCCACCATCCTGGCAGTCGCTTGACATGTCATTTCCCAAATTATACATTGTTTCCCATGATATTAAAAGGAACAGAAGAATTTGCTTGGCGAAAGAAGAACCAGTTGTTAGATACTGTCATCACCTTGATATGGGGATTATCCAGGTGGAACAGAAGAGGCTTCGTCACAGATACTTAGGCATAAGATATTTATAGATCTCACTCAGAATATTTATGTGTCAAGAAGTTTTGGAAAGAAAGTAATGTATTCAGAATGCATTAATGGGCTGAATTAGTAGTCAAGTAGCTGAATGAACCAACCAGAATATTTTGGAAATAAATACAGTGGAGCCTTGCTATAACTTGTTATAATGTGGAGATTGGGATTAAAAAAAACAAATAGGTACGATAGCTATTTATCAATATTACTCAAGATCATAGTGTTCTGGCACAGCAAATAGGAAGTGCTGTTGGTGGTGATAACAATCGTGGAAGTCAGTCATTTTAGAGTGAAAATTGCTTAGCGTGCAGGAAGCAATACGGATGAGCAAAGAAAAAAAATCGAAACTTCGAAGGGATGAGAAATGAATTAACTATGGTAAACTGGGCTGAACTGTTAATGGGTAAAACCACGGACCTACCATGGTTGACAAATAAGGTTAAGAGGCAGCATCAAACTAAAAGAAAAGGCTTACAGTCATGCAAGAAAAAATGGAAATCCAGCGGACTGGGAGACTTATAAAAAGCAACAAAGAAAGTAATAAGGCGCAAAAAAGGAAATATTAGAGAAAACTTGCAAAAGATATCAAGGGCCACAGTAAAAGCTTTTATAAATATATTAAGAGAAAGAGAGTGGTAAAGGGGGAATATGGGCTCATCAAATACACACGTAGGTGAGTCTATAATGGACAATAAGTTAAATGGCAGGCTTGTTGAATGCTTCCATTTTCACAGTAGAGGAAGAGGAAAAAATACCAGCGGTACAAGGGAACCTAAAAATAAGCCAAAGAGAAGTACTACTACTACTACAACAACAACGTGGATTTATATAGCACCCTCCACGCCGGATGGCGTCTCAGAGCGCTTTACAGTTTAGGATCCAGGGACCGAGTCAGGGTGGGGAGGTGACCAAAGGCGCAGTCGAAAAGAACGTACTAAATGGATTTAATATAAATTCAAAAAATGGTAATGGAGAAAGTAATGGGACTAAAGATAGACAAATCTCCAGGACCTGATGGAATCCACCCCACAGTATTAAACAAAGTAGGGGAGAAAATTGCAGATGTGTTTGTCATGATTTTCCAAAGCTCTCTATATTCGGAAATTGTGTCCTTGGTTTGGAAAAGTGTAAATTTCATTCCATTACTTAAGAAGGGAGGGAGGGAGAAACCAGGTAACTACAGACCTGTCATCTTAACTTCAGTTATGAGGAGCTCACTGGAACCTCTCATCCGGGACAGAAACACTGAGCACTTGGGCAAGTATGAGTTAATCAAAAAGAGTCAGCAAGGATTTGTGAAGGGTAGGGCATTTCTGACGAATCTAAGTGAATTTTTTGAGGAGGTCACTAACATGGTGGATAAGAGAGTGTCTATGCATGTCATCTGCATGGTCTTTCTGAAGGTATTCAGTCCCCATGGATTGGAAGATCGCAAATGTCACACAACTATTTAAAAAAGGTGGAAAGGCAAAGATAGGGAACTATAGGCCAGTTAGTCTAACATCAGTGATAGGAAAAAATTTAGAATCAATGATTAAGGATGTGGTAGTGCGGTATTTAGGGGAGCACAATATAATTAGGCCAAGTCAACACGGCTTTCAAAAGGGAAGTCATGTTTGACGAATCTCATTGAGTTTTTTGAGGATATTTCCAATAAACTAGATAAGGGTGAATCAGTGGATGTGGACTATTTGGACTTCCAGAAGGCATTCAATAAGGTTAGTCCAAAAGATAAGGGCCCATGGAATTGGGGAGAGCATATTAACGTGGATTGGGGAATGGTTAACGGGTAGGAAACAAGGACTAGGGATAAACGGGTCCTTTTCAGATTGGCGGGATGTGACTAGTGGAGTGCCACAAGGATCAGTCCTTGGGCTCAGCTATTTACCATCTACATCAACGATCTTGATGAGGACATCAAAGTTAATATATCTAAATTTGCAGATGACACAAAACTAGGAGGAAGTGTCAACACAGAGGACAACGTTAAAAATAGCAGCGAGACATAGATAGGTTAGGTGATTGGGCAGGTAGGTGGCAGATGAAGTATAATGTAGGGAAGTGCGAAGTCATCCACCTCGGTAGCAAAAACAGTAGAGCGGGTTATTTTTTAGAAGGGGAGAGCTTGGAATGTGTTAGGGTCCAGAGGGACTTGGGTGTCCTTGAACACCAATCACAGAAAGTTAGTCTGCAGGTGCAGCGAGCAATTAGTATGTTAGCATTCATTATGAAAGGATTAGAGTATAAGAGTAGGGAAGTCTTGCTGCAACTGTATAGGGCCCTGGTGAGACCACACCTGGAATACTGTGTGCAGTTTTGGTCTCCTTATTTAAGGAAGGATGTACTTGCCCTGGAGGGGGTGCAGCGTAGATTTACTAGGTTAGTACCAGGGATGAAGGGGATGAGTTACGAGGATAGGCTGACCAATTTGGGCCTATATTCTCTAGAATATAGAAGAATTAGAGGGGATCTTATAGAAACCTATAAGATCATCAAAGGGCATGATAGAGTAGATAGTGGGAGATTGTTTCCCCTGATTGAAGAAACTAAGACCAGGGGTCACAACTTTAAAATCAGAGGCCAGCCCTTTCGCACTGAGTTGAGGAAGAACTTCTTCACTCAAAGGGTGGTGAATGTATAGAACTCACTACCCCAAAGGGCTGTTGACGCTCAGTCCTTGAACATATTCATGACTGAGATAGATAGATTTCTTATTGCAGAAGGGATTAAGGGATATGGGGATAAGGCAGGGTTAGGTTATTAGCTGGAGTTAGATTAGAAGATCAGCCATGATTGAATGGTGGGACAGGCTCGAAGGGCCGAATGGCCTACCCCTGCTCCTACATGTTGTTATGTTCCGCACAAGAGGTTATTAGCAAAAATGAAAACGCATGGAATGGGCGGTAACCTTGTGTCCTGGCTTGGAAACTGGTTGGGAGGCAAGAAATAGAGTAGGGACAAAAGGAACTTTCTCTGATTGATGGGACGTGACAAGTGGTGTTCCCCAGAGAGCTGTACAAAGGCCTCAGCTTTTCACCATTTGTATATAAGTGACTTGGATGAAGGAAGAGAGTTTTATATCAAAATTTGCAGATGGCACAAAGTTAGGAGCACAATAAATTGTGAAGATGGGAGCAGAAAATTAAAAAGGGATCCATTCACATTTTCAAGACTGAGGTGGATAGATATTTGTTAGGTCAGGGTATCAAGGGATATGGGGCAAGGTCGGATAAATGGAGTGGAGGTACAGATCAGCCATGATCTTATAGAATGGAGGAACAAGCTCAAGGGGCTGAATGGCCTATTCCTGTCTCTATGTTTCACACTGCAAGTGAATTGGGACCTCCTCCCGACATGAAAGGCCCGATACAAATGTAATTTTGAATTGTATTACAAGCTTTTGCGCTATAAAGAAGCACGCTGTACCATAGTCGCACTGTCCATGTGTGACAAGTAATTAATTCTTAGCCGGCCAGCAATATTGCAAATTGGACCTGAAAACATACCGTTCTAGATCGAATTTCTTTCGCATACAAAGGGAAAAGAAACTCCGATTCTCCTTCCAACCGAAGCCCATTTTCGGTTACTCTTAGGTGTCCCATCCCATCCTACAAGGGAAGAAGAAACAAAACACAGGTCAAATGGGTGGACCACACTTTAGTGATGCTCGTGAATTAATCATCAATTTAAAAGTTACATTTGGGAGGAAAATAATGGGAGTGTGCTATTATCTATTTTGAATGTAGCTCAACCCCCGATCATGATTTGGTTGTTTAATTCTGAAAGCACCAGTATAAATCAAAAATGTGAAAATCCTGGTAGACCACAGCAGGAATCCAACAAAGAGCTTAATCATCATTCTCAAGTCCACTTCATTTTAATGCTTAGCAACTCCAGGACTGGATATCATTAACAGTAAGATTCTTCCTGACGATTCGAAGATCAAATATATGAGCCAGCAAAGACTATTGATCAAGGGAGCACAATGGTTAACGTAAAGAATCTTTTGAGGGTAGGACAGCATTATGTGATCACTCAGTCAGTCCACACTTGGGATCAGAATATTCTGAGTTTGAATGAGACTAAAATGAACTTCAGAGAGCTAGCATAGGCACGGTGGGCTGAATGGCTTACTTCTGTGTGTAAATTTCTATGGTTTATGGTTCTCTCCCCAACTCTAACCTCTTAACTTTGAACTCTTCCAACCATTTTCCTCAAACCTTTCTATTCATTCAATCTTAATGCTGGGACTCCCACTCTCCTTAGTGCTTGTGAAATTATAATAAAAAATAATAATCCTTGCATTTGGTATAGCATGTCTTCAAGACGTCTCAAAGTGCTTCAGAGAATATACTGTAAAGTGAATTGACTGTACATTTTGTGAACAAAACACGGCAGCCAATTGCATACAGCAACGTTCCACAAACAGTCGTGGATTGAGTAACCAGATTATTATTTTTAAAACAATTTTTGAAGGGATTATTACCCCTGGAAAAGTGATCCACCAATCAACCAGCAATAGGGTTCCAATTTACTGCTAGGTAAACAGAGATGTGTGGAGTAAGGAAATTTGCCTAACGTTTTGTTTCAACACTGAAGCTTTGGAAGTGACTTACACCAAAGAGCATGAATAAGATTGAACGGAACAAAGAGCACTTCACAGCAGACACACAATTTTACCAGAGCAACAAACTGTTGTGATTGAAGGAGACACTGGTTACAGCTCATTCACCCTCCTTTAATAAATATGGAATCTCACACTCTAATCTGCTGCATTCTGCTTGAACAATCAGCTTACTGCCAATTTGTTTGTAAGCAATTATTCCTTCTGGAAGATTGATAGCATGGATGACCTGAGATTTTATTAGTTCAGTGCACATTTCGCCAGCATTATGTTTGTTAGATTAGAACTCTTGGGGGACTGAATTTGAAACTGCGGGACACCTAAAATATCTTTTACAGAAATAGATGTCACATAAATTGAGTTTATTGCACAGGTCAGGAGGACTTCACAACTCAGCAGTGACAAAGTCACCAGAGAATTACATTTGTGATTGGGATAAATCCACTCTCCCTCTATTCTGATGCAGTCTAATTATACTATCCAACAAATGCTTAAACATCTATGAATGCAATATTTAATAGCCCTCAGGATATTATAGTTGTTTCAGTCATGTGGAATGTGCTTGTTTTACTTAGAATCTGAGGCCTGAAAATCTCCTCTGATTTTAGCCCTAAGACTACTGCCTTAAGATTTAAGATTGTGTCCAGTTTTGCAAAATTCTTAAATTCTGTCGTAATCTGAAAAACAGTTTTCGTGCAGTTCCTATCCACGAAGAACTTTTTTTGAAGAACTGTGGAAAACGGATGGTAAATATTAATAACAATATAATAATCCTTACATTTGATATAGAAATTTATCATGTCTTTGAGATGTCCCAAAGTGCTTTACAGAATATACTATAAAGTGAATTGATTGTATATTTTGTGGATGAAACAAGGCAGCGAATTGCCACAGCAGTGTCACACAAACAATCGTGGATTGAGTGATCAAGTTATTTATTACCCCCGGAAAAGCAATCTGCCAATTGACTACTTACTGCTAGGTAAACAGAGAAGTGTGGAGTAAAGAAACCTGCACAACGTTTTGCCTTGCCTGGGAATCAAACCCAAGTCCGCTCATTTGCGAGGTGAGTGCTCTAACCAAAACGCTACAGGTCTCCAGAATGAAGGCTAAATTCAGGAATTATGCATGATCTTCAATTTTACGACACTGATCTTAAGGCCTCAGAGTTTGAGAAACGCCAGGTCTCAAATCTTGTGAATTATGTCAGCAAGACCAAGAACTGCTTGTCAGAAACCACAGACTCAGCTGAGACTCTTTGAAAAGTCACATGGCAACTTTTACACGTGTTCCTCAACAGGATTATTAAATTGAAATCAAATGAATTACGCAGATCTTCTGCAGATGTTACTGTTGACTGTGATCAAGGACGGTTTTGCTGCAGCCTATTTTGGCACGGTCCTCTAGATCGAAACTGTGGTCCTCTTGCCTCAGCATCTAAAGAGGTTTCACACAAATCTGCCTGTTGACTTTCAGCTGGTCTTTCATGTCTTGCTGACTAGTTATTTATCACGGCTGACAATATAATGGCCGAGCGTGGTATCTTCTGCTCATTCTACGTGCTGCATTCCTTGGAGATTTATCTGCCGAAGACATTGAAGATGTCTTGTTCTGAACACGCTCGAGTGGTTCCACATCCAAGGGAGTTGGCCTGCAATTAATTTCAAGATAAAACAAACTCCCAATGCAGCAGTGAACCAACAGCCATCACCACAGAAGTAAAACTGAAAGGTTAATTGCACATTAGGTAAATAGTAATAAGCTTTTAATACTACTTTTTGCTGGAGGAAGATCACAAATAAAGTACCTGAACAAAACACTAAGATAATTAATCCTTGTACAGTAATCCTGGAAATAGTTCCAATTTTCTGATAGTGGGTGGCGCTGGGCCAGAGAATTTCATAGTCAAATCGACCTCGGCATTAATATTGTTTATTATTCTATTAAATCGCTAAAAGCAAATCTGTTCTTCCTAACTGTTTTGTGACATACATTAGAAATGATTTTACCACTCAATTTTCCCAAGATGTGCCATTACGTCTTGATGCGAGTATTTGTGGAACATTGGTTTGTGAGGTGTTGCTATGCGCATGCATTATCACACACAGGCAAATTCATGCCTCAGGTTCCTTAATAATAATAATCCTTGCGTTTGATATAGCGCCTTATCAAGTCTTCGAGACGTCTCAAAGCGCTTCACAGAATATACTGTAATGGAATTGACTGTATAGTTTGTGGCCCTTACTCTCCCTCCTGTCACTCATCCCTGATTGAAAAGACTTTTAAACTTTATTTTAAAATCTAAAAACGTGGCCCAACTTTGACATCACCAAATGCTCCAGAATGACAGTCACACCAGTCTAGGTCTCCACACAGAGGGCAGATTCACAAATGAAATTCCAAGTCCAGTGTTCTGAGTGACCAGGGCAGGCTCTTTTAACAGCCCAGGCCCAAAATTCCATCTCGTCTTAATCGATGAGATTAAATTCTTAAATTCAGACTTAATTTGGAAGTCGATTTTCTGCTGGTTTTAAAAATAAGCAACTTCCAAATTGTGACTGAATTTAAGAAGTTTCTACAATCCTGAAATTGTGAAACAAAATGTCTCACAGGCTATGACTTGGTGAAGTTTTGGGCTTCCTGATTGCCAATCATAACATTGATATTGATTTTGCAGCAAGCTAATGTTTTCTTAGGTACATATTATAGGATTATTATTATGCATCTCAACTGAATATTGGCTGAATTGTTTTATCACTGTTGTATCAAGATAACTATTGCACTTTTAATGTTTTCTATGCTTTTTCAAAACAACTATCATTTATAGCACAATTTACATCACTCTCTCCTACTTGGGAATGCCAGTATATTGACATTTCTATTAAAGATTCTGGCAGACGCAATTGAGTACACTATCTCATATATCACCAGGCCATCAATATGAAATCATTCACACAAGTGCTAAGAATTCATTATTTGTTGTTTTTCCAATGAGGTGTACTGCAAAAAATATACTGTCCTGGGCAAATGGCATGAAGTAGAGATGACATGTTGTCGATGTGACCTGCTATGCAGTAGGTGGAGGTGGTGTGATGTGGCGGTGTATTTCTTTACCCAGACTGGAATGGTTATCATGGAAGCACTTTGAAACATCTAGAAGACGTAAAAAGGCCTATATCAAATGCAAGCATTATTATTATTAAGCGTATTTAGGGCCATGAAACTGGACTTATTTAAAAAGCAGCTTGATGCTACTGATGAAAGGACAGAAGAATGTGTATTTGGGAAAGATGAAAGCAAATGGGTCGTGGAGCCTTTTTCAACCAAACCAATCTTATGATCTTGTGTTTTGACTAAAACTGCAAGGTTTGATGTGACGTTATCAGCAAATTCAGGAATAGTCTTAGCTCACCATGCTTGCTATCATCATTTTTATCTTCAAATCCCACCTTAAGACTTATTTTTTGACCCCATTTACCGCTGCTCCTTCTGCCTCGTTCAGTGTCTATTGTGCAGGGCTCTGTGATATTATCCTGTGTGAAGGGTGCTATATAATTGAAAGGTGTTGTGGTCATATCACTGTTGTTCTTGATTTTGGACCATTCTGCTGCTTGCTTATGTGTGTGAATTCTAACTTTCTTCTCATTCCCACCTTCTCGCCTTCTGCCTGTGGTTTCCCTTTTTGCTTGTTTCCATATATGTGATTCCTAGCCTTTGTTTCATTCCCAATTTCTGTGTAGGCAAAGATCCATTCATTTCACAAGTAAAACAGGCAGCAGTTTGGTCCTAAAACTTAGCAGTTTATACCTGTTCTTCAGATATAGCGCTGCTCAAAAGAATTTAACTAGTTAGTATCAATCTTACCTGGAGGAAGTTACCAACCTGTGCTTAGAATACAGCTGCCACCAGCTGTTCCGCAATCCCGTCAAGTATCAAAGCCCAGGGTGTTATAGGGAGTTATTTACTGCTTTGCTTTTTTTGGTC